GTCTTGTGACTCGCGCCGTGTCAATGCAATCATACCTCCTTCTCCGCAACATTAATTAATTAACACACACTACTGTACTCTCCTGTTACACCCCCCAGCGCACGCTTCCCGCCATCTGCGTCTCCCCCAACCCCCTCCCCCCCCAGCTCGTCAACTCTGCTCGCTCCTCCTCGCACATACTTTTTCCACCGTCTTCAAACCTCTGTCGTATCTCGCCCTCGCCCGCCGCACCACAAATCTTACCCTTGTACTGTACAGAGATGTAAGATCCCGCCCCGCACCCACTCATTCCTCATGTCTCCTCACCCTCACCCTCGGCCGTATAAAAAAAAAATGGACCGCGTTATCCCACACCGCTTTCTACCGTCAAATATAAATCCAGCACGTCCTTTCCGCCCGCTCCGCATCTCCGCCCCCCTCCCACTACGAGATCTCGTGTTGGACACTTGCATCCCTCAACCAGTCGAATTGCTACCCGCCTCCCACCTCTTTCCACTCACAACAACGGAAAGGCCTCACATTCCTCGCGAAATATATGCACTGCGGAAGAACAACTCTCGTCTTTACCATCTTCCGCGTACCGGGGAGCTGACTTGTCTCCCCCCCTTCCTCTAGCTGCATAACTATTTCTCTATACGTGAGGATGGGTCTCCCTACGACCTTGCCATTGTACTGTACCTACAGTAGTCAAGGTTCATTCCCTTGAACAAGAAATGTTCAGCCATTAGATACTGTACCAGAAATAGCCAATCTCCTTGGATCGCCTTTTGACAAGGGCATGAGCGATTGTGCGTCGGCAGCAGTACAGTATAATATTACAGGACAGTCAATCGATACACATGCATGCATCAAAATGAACTTTGTGATGCTTTCTCCTTTTTAATTGTGGGTGTTTCCTTGGCCCATAAATAGAAGATGCGCACTCCCTTTTGATTACAGTGTCCTTGATGAAATACCTGAATTATTTTCCCCAGATGCACTTCTCATGAATTTTGATTCACTTTTCGAGTTTTCGTTATTCTTTTTCGCGAGGCTGAGAAAAGTCCATAATTGGTACCACGAATAAAAGGCCTTCTTCTCATTCCCTAGTAAAACGTCTATCGATCGACTGCATCAGCTCAGCTAAAGAGCGATGCGTCTAGAGCAATTCCTGTTTTTCATCGGTATCAAGCTGTGGAGGACGAATGATTGAACGCGAACAATTCGAAGTACCCTAAAAGTTCTGAGTCAGAATAGTCATTTCCGTCGCTGTGAGCGTCCACTCCTTCCTGATTGTGCACGTTTTGCGCTGCATTATTTCGGAAAGCATTAATACAATTTCCACATACAGCATCAATAAAAAATGTAATCCTTTTTTCTGCTGTCCGTGGCACTGATCTGAATATATTTATTCATTCCCAATTCACGGGCGAACAACTAATGATCACGTGCAGACCAAGTCCACGAAAACTGAGCGCACTATAATTTCGGAAAATAGGAACTCGCAGTTCTAAAACTCCGCTAAGCCCCCCTCCTGTCGTCACTTTTATTCAATACAACACCCATCCGTTACATATTAATACCGCATGTCGTCTCAAATTTGTAGACAAGCCAGTTTACATTTGCCAAAGCTTCCTATCCTGGACAACAACTTCTGTATTTCACTGCGCTGAAGCTGTGCGTGTACGGGCGGTTATGGTCACAAACAAATCGTATCTCACCAAATATTTTGTGGGTAACATGCACCCGACGCGATCTCGCAAATATGGATCCACGTATCCCACAGACAAGAAAGCGTGGCGTACCATACATTGCCTGTACACCGGTAAGAACACCAACGCTGCAGCGCGTTTGCAACATTGCCACTGGCCCGAGAAACGCAGTTTTTGATTTTCAGTATGTGCAACTGTACTGCCTTCGTAAAAGGTGGGCGCGGGACCGCACTGTTCTCTAGACAGACGGAGTGAACCGCGATAAAGAGAAGGTGTCGAAGGCAACAGTGAAGTCTTATTGCAACTTGAATTGCAATCGATCAATAATGTACACAGTGGCAACAAGCAAAATGGAGTGGCAAAATGGCCCCAGCAAAGTCTCAGAAAATCAAATCAGTACAGAACCATTTTAGCTTCAGCTTGCATGTCAACGCCATCCGCTAATCAAACAATAATATCAAAGAGAACGCGTGCGCCTGTGTTAGATCTGGTAACCCCGTTCAAAAACATCATGGCATGAATGCATTCTGATTATCGAGCTGAATCTCGCGCGATGGGAATAACATAGCAACTGCAGGTTTCAGTCCCGCTACAGTACGATTGAATAAAGATTTTGAAACTTAAAGTGGCATTACACCTTCGCTCCATTCTTTTTATATCCTTCGGCCCTTGGCATGCGGCACAGGACATATACTTCGTCCGCAGGGGGGAATTGTCATCGTGGTGCCTGGTGTCTTTGGAACCGTGGCCGGAGACCCTCCTGAGATTGGCTAGCTGACGGTGATCACTGAATCTGCTCCACTGACATCGCAGAGAATTTGCCACAGAACCCCCGCCTTGTTGGAAGAAGACTGCCCTTGAAGGAATCGCTTTGAAGCTCCAGTCGAGCCTCCCACGCTCCAGGGTTCTTCCATTTGTCTGTACGCAGATGTCTATTTTTTCAATATTTCGGGAGGAGTGAGGTACTACCGCAAAAGGGCAGTCCATAATCTCTCGCCCAAATTCCAGCATCGCAGAGAATAGCCCACGGCTTGGCCAGAGCACAGTACAAGTATGTATCTATGCAGGCACGTCGTCAATGTTTGTGTAAAGGAGAGCACTGGAAACGAATCCCAGACACTTCGATAAAACAGATTCATACTGGACAAGTGAAGAACCGCTGTTGCAACATAGTTAACTTTAGAAAGCGGCAAATCCCACAGCGAGGAGAGAGGAGGGGTTTGAGATGCAGCCTCCTGATAGCAGCCGAGATATCGATAAATAGCAGTGATCCACTCCACAGGACACCTCGTTTTATGGAAAGATGCAGCAATCGCGGCAGGGGAGGCCCTTTCAACACGGCTTGGAGGTGTTTCTGCCGTAATACCACCACCCGGTTCTCGATCGTAGCAAGGTATTCATAACCTTGAACTACCAATGCAAGGGAGCACTAAGAACTGCTCACGGGGCATTTCCCTTGCTGACATGTCATGTCGGAGATCAAACTCTAAACTGCTGCTCACGCGGCTTGCCCCTTGAGGACAAGTCATGTAGGAGATCAAACTCTAAGCTGCTGCCTGCGAGCTTATTACAATTCTGCTCGCGAAAGGCAAAGGCCTTCATGGGCAGTAATTTCTTGTTAGGGGTTATTGTAAACAATCATATTTTATTACTCGTTTCTTGTTTCGTGTGCCAATCTCTCTCGTTTTACTTGAATGAATATTGTGACGGTCTTTTATCAAACCCATTTAGAACGATAGGCAGATGCCTCTCTAGTACTCCTTCGCCAGCCACAGACCGTAGAAGAGCAAATGTACATCGCTTAGTTGGGGTTTCGTGTGCGATGGAGAAGCAATGCGTGCCCTTTCTAGAAACTTTTGATCACGACGGCGCGCAATCGATATTCACGCCAGGCCGGTACCAGCATTGACTAGTCCTAAATCTGCGCAGCGTATGCGTTCTTCCACTTTTTATGTCTGATATCTAGTCCAGCGCAAGCACCGCGCTTGGACACCGCGACAGGATGCGGTGCACCTGATGGTTTGATTGCGCAAGATTCAACTGTGTATCAAGATTCTGTAAAAAAACATTCATCTTCATCGCGTTCCATCGGTCTGCCTGTCCACTAGCGCTTCAGCGTTCCATCCCTTTTTTTGGCGGGAGCCACAGACCAATCCTCGTCGTCCTTCTTGTGTTTGTACATATTGTGCACCACAAACGCTCAGGCGCATGAGGTTCAAAAAAAGGAATGGGAGTAACTCTATCAGTACGATAAAATACTCAGTTGATCGAAAGTATGATCATATTGCATTGACTGTATCGCGAGTTTTCAATGCTTTCGCCAGTTGGAATGAAACAGGAAAGAAAACTGCTTTTGTTGTCCCAAGAAGCTCATAGCTCTAGGCGTATATGCTCCAAGGAATCCTCCTTCACACGAATGCCCACTGAATCAACACTCCACGGGAAACATCAGTTTAGAGAGCCGTAAGGTCTGTACTATGAAGAGCCACACCGCTTTGGGCACCTGCGTGTAGACCTTTTCACCTTCCTACGAGCATAAATGCGATAGAAATTTGGCATCAATATATTCGGGGATAGTGGAGTGAATCAATGCGATTAGGAACATCTGAATCCAAGTGGGGTCAAACAGTTATCAATGGCATCCGGACGGTGTATGAAGTCAAAACAGGTGAGGGCTTGATATGGGGGTTGAGATAGAGAATGCAAAGAGCATGAAAAAGATATTTTGCGGGCCGCGCTTATGGAAGAAGATTTTTTGGTTCTGGGCGATGAGAAGTCGTGTTCCTCAGCTGGATTCATGAGAGGTACGGCTGGCAAATGCACATGACGATGCCATACAAGACATGAAGTCAGGCGGAGCAGGGGATAGTGAACGTTACAAGCTCTGCTTTTGTTGAACGAGGTTTGAATTTCTTGTCTGGCGAACTGATGGTGCAGGAAAAAAGTAGAGGACACATTTTTTCTTTCTTGATAAAGGCTGTATTTACCAGCCCTATGTCTCTTCAGTGGGGAATAGAATGAAGCAGGAGGCAAAGTATTGCCCAATACGTTTACCTTGTCTATGGCAAGCGGTTCAAGACGTTTTTTTCGTGAAAAGATATTGTGTAGCAGGTTTCGGCGGAAGGCATAAATTCTCAGACGTTGTGTATGAAGGGAGGAGATGATCAAGGAGGCAGATGGGGATATGGATTTTAAGATTGGATACAGTATGATAGGGGGCTCACCGTGGCATTCGATGGTTTTCGTTGTGGGCTGGAGACTTTTTGCGAAAGTTGGAGGGGGTTTTCGAAATAATAATTTACGGCATATTGCCGAGATGCGCTCATTAATAAGCAGATTATGTAAGGCGCGAAGGTAAGAGGGATTAATAGTTTACGGCAACAGGGCATCCAGAAGGGAAGAGAAAATATCACTGTACGGTTGGTTTTTTTAAAACAGCAGCCATAACCTTGTCAAGTTCACCCCTCGATTCCAATGAATTCTCTCGTTGGCTCTCGAGTCTGGCGAGTCAGAGGACAATCTGGATGTCCCCGTGCCACAGTTGTACGCCTTGTTATGCGGTTCATTCGTGCAAGCATGGCTCATAAAAGATGGACAACGGTCGCGCGCCGGGGCCCGCGACTGCTTTTTTTTTTTTTTTTTTGGCTGATGCGACGCTTGGATGAACGCGGGAGTGGGCGATGTGCTGCGTGTCTGGTATGGTATATCGCTGGTTTCCTTCTTCCCTTGAGACCGTTGCACGTATCGGTCTTGTGGAAGAAGTGTAGGACAAGAAAAAGAATTTCCGGTCGCGGGTGTGAGACGTCGATTGCGACGCGCGAGTGTTTGAAAAGGGTGTGAGTGACATGGGGTAAAGTTTATCATGTGATGGTAGCGATAAGATGCGAGGACCTGTATGGTGATCTCGCGACGTGATG